GATGTCCACAGCCTATGAACAGAAGGCCCTGATGTCCGCAGTCTATGAACAGAGGGCCCTGTCAATGACAGGGCTCCGGAGCTCTGTGTCACCTCATGGGGAGAAGACCCCGTAGGCACAATTCCGGCCTCTGTCGGGCCCCTCCCTCCCTCACCCCCCTCATCTCTAAATGAAAGCCCCCCTAAGGGAAGCAAGCAATATTGCTTGCTCTTAATTTGCTTGGCTTGAACTTATGTATTTTATCCTTCACCTTACAATATTGTGAGTTCTTCCTCTTTCCTTTAGATAGCAACCCAGAATTTCATTGTTGCCCAAATTCGACAGAATAGCAAGCAAGAGGGTTGAACAAGTATCTCTGGCTTCATTGAAACTAGCATCTAAACCAGCGCTCCATGTGCTTCTAAACAGCAACACACCTTTAACTTCCTTAAACTCCCGAGGGCTACAGATCATGAAGCTCCATGCAGGCTCCACAGCATGAATCAAGCATAAGAGTCCTTCCGTGTCACCCTTGTCTTACTATATGAACACCATACTGTCACCCACACACCCGGCTCAGTATTAGGGTGGTGTGCCCAAAGCTCACTTGGGGGGCTAGGGGCCGGTTCAGGGTCAGTTGGCCATAATACCAGAACGGGCACCTCTGAAACATGAACCTCATCATGTGTGTAAGAAGACTAAGAGAAGAAACGCAAGTAAGAATGGAGTTAAGGGGTATTCTTGCCTTTCAGTGAAAGTCAAAAATAAAAATTCCAGATTTGGGATCCATGAGAATATTAGTGATAAATGAAATGATTGTGGGCATTGAATAAGGAAAATGGACTAATTAATAATAATGAGCAGTGGTGTTGGTACCACACACACACACACACACACACATCAGCCATGATCCGTCTTTCCCTCAGCAGTCACAGAATGACTGGGATTGGATGATAGATAGTACCTGTTAGTACTACCTGCTCTTGCGGGTGGCGCAATGAACAGAAGACTTGTGGCTGATGGATTACCGTCGGCCTGGGGGTAGATCTCTGCAAAATCTACACAAGGCTAGGGTGGTGCAGGGAACCAGACACTACCTGAGTCTGTTATTCATGTGTGAAGTGGGGGGATAATAGTGCCCTCCTCACAGAGTTCTTGTGAAGGTCAAATGGGGCGATCTATGCAGAAGTTCCTGATACTCATGGCCCAATACATGTAGATGTTTGGGGCATGGGTGATAATGAAGGATTTGAATTAAAATGCCGGGCCAGGGGTAATCCCAACACTTTGGAAGGCCAAGGTGGGCAGATCCCTTGAGCCCAGGAGACCAAGGAACCCTTCAAGACCAACCTGGGCAATATGGTGAAACCTTGTCTTTACAAAAAAAATACAAAAATTAGCCAGGCATGGTGGTGCACACCTGTAGTTCCAGCTAATCAGGAGGCAGAGGTGGGAGGATGGCTTGAGCCCAGGAGGACAAGACTGCAGTGAGCTGAGACCGTGCCACTGCGCTCCAGCCTGGGTGGCCGAGCGAGACCCTGTCTTAAAAAAAAAAAAAAAAGCTGACGATAAAGAAGTGAGCAGTGACTCCTAGAGGATGACAACATCAAAACTAAAAAGATTTCAACAGATGTGAACTAAAGGGACACCACTAATATGACACTAAATCAAGACAAACCGGAGTCTTGCAGCTGGGTTGAAAAACAGGCCTGGTAAGGGCAGGAAGGCGTGAGAGGTGGGTTAAGAGCAGTCATGAGGAAGTGGAGGCTCACAGCATGATGCGGTGGCCACACAGGTGAAGCAGTCTTGGGCTGCATTGCAATGGCCAGGGTTGTTATTATCACATGAATTCAGAGCTACAGCATTTACAGAGGGTTTTGCATGTACCACCTATTAATTGAAGAATGTTGTTAGATCAAGGGAAGTGAACTCCAACGAACTCTGAGTCAGGAAATCCCTGGAATTTTGTCTTCTGCCAGTCACCAACTGAAAAGGGAATGTAGGTAACTAAACAGCCAGTGTGGTATGGGCAAAGGAACAGAAACCCAGCTCCGCATTGACAGGCACCAGCTATGGGACCTTAAGGAAGTAACTTAATCTCTCCAAGCTGAGCCTCCGTTTCTTTACCTGTCACATAGGAATAGCAGTATCTGCCCTAGAGAGCTGTCTTGAGGATTAGATGAAACTCCATATACCATGGGCCTAGCACAGAGTCTGCAAGCAGAAAGGACAATCAATTGTCATTAGGCCCTCACCCCTCTCAGTTATCCACTTACGGGTATCTGCTCTGTAAGTCTGCTAGAATCTGGTTTCATCTCAGGTCAGTTTCCTTCTCACCCCCTCCTCACTACACACTGGGCGCTTCCCCCATCCTCACCCCAGTTGGAGCTGAGTGGGGACAGACCCAGACAAAGCCACTGCTCTTGGCCTCTTCCCCAAGACATGCCAACGGACCATCATGGCACATCTTCCCCAGACCCGAGGCTCAGCCTGTCCAAAATGCTGACAGAGCACCTGCTACACACCAGGACCAGGTATGTAGTACGAGTGTGCTAAACATGGTTCCTGCTTTCAGAGAGCTTATAATCTAGTGGAAAACTCAGAGGATTAAAATATGTATACCCACAGAGAGAGAAGAATTCACAAGTAAGTGTTTCCAAATGGACACAGTACCCAGGAACAGAGTAGAGGAAAATCCTAATTTGGGGACCTCAAGAGCTAGACTCTTAGAAGTGGCACAGGAGCTGAGCACTGGAGAGAGAGGAGGAAACTCCCCAGCTCCCCTCCCAGGCAGGCAGTTGCTTCCCTTCTGGGTACCAGAGGGCTCTCAGCCACTCTGAGAGGGAGCCCCAGCTCCCCACCTATGGGGTGACACTTCTCACTCCAGCCTACTATGGAAAATTCCCAAAAGGTCACTGTCACAGCTCCTGGGAGCTCCACCCCTGCCCACCGGTCCTTCCACCTAATAACACCTTCCCCTCTTCCAGGGCCGGGCTCTAATTAACGCCCGCCTGGCAGAACCTGCTGGGCCAGAAACATACTGGATGTGCTCCGTCTGGCTCCCAAATGCATACCTTCCCCAGAGCCACCCTGCCCCTGGCCTTCTGACCCTCTCCTCCCACTCCCAGCACCCCCACAGCCCTGGGGCAGGGTGTGGAGATGATTTTTCAGGGCACAGCGTGGAGATGATTTGAGTCTCAGGCCCACTTCCCCCCAATCCTTTCACACTGCCGTATTCGAGATGTTGGCGAAAGAGAAGAGAAAGAATAAAGACAGGGATGGACAGGAGCAGAAGGGCAGACAGACAGGAAATGAGGAGCATGAAGAGACAGGCATGGAGACAGCACGAGAGGGAGCGGAGAGAGGCACAGACAGACACGAGATGCAATGGTAGAAAGGAGAAGGCCCACGACATGGGCTGAGAGGAAGAGCCCAGGAAGCATGGGGAGGGGTGGCAGGAAGCTCAGGAGGAAAGGTGCAGACAGGGAGCAGCTGCAGCCCACGCCCCTCCCAACCCTTGCCCCCCTCCCCCCACCCACAGGCTTTGGGGAACACAGTGAGGGGTCCCAGGAGCCTCCACAGGGGTGGGGTGGAGGGCATTGGTGCTGGAGAAGACAGGATGTCTCCCCCAAATCTCACCAGCGGAGGGGAAGCCGCCTGAGGGTAAGGGTGAAGGATGGCCTGGCTTTAAGAGGAGTTTCCTGTGACAAATCTGCCTGAGGCTCAGCAGTGGAGACACCAGGATTTTCCACTCTGCGACAAGCGTCAGAGACCAGCTGAGGGAGACACTGCCTCTGCCCACCGCACCCTGCCTTTCCTCCCACAGATGCTTAGGTGACCCCAGCAGCCTGCCAGACCCTGTGCTTGTCCAGGACACAGAGCCAGGGGAGAGGTGCAGCGCTCGGGGAGTCCCGACCGGCAGAGAGAAGGCACGCGGGCAGCAGAGACGCTGCAAGGCCGGGGCAAAGTCCACGGGCGCTTGGGGGTGAGAGAGGCCATTTCTGGTTTGGGAAAGCAGGTTCTGGAAGAGTGAGCCTTTGAAAAGCAGCTAAAAAAAAAAAAAAAAAAAGAGTGGCACTGGAGAGGTCAAAGGTCAAGAGAGGGCGAGCCGTGTGGACAAAGGCAGGAACATGGGGAAGCCCAGCTTGTGAGGCTGCGAGTGACCCCCGCATGGGCTTGTTCTGTGGGAAGGAGCTTGTGGCGCCTCTAACCAGCATGCTCCGTGTTGTTAGCTGACTCAGTGGGAATGGAGAGGCCATGCCATGATTTTAGCAGAGGGGTGGCAGGAATGATGCCGAGCCTCAGCCTCAGAATCCGGGCGCTCCTTCCTCTACTTAACTCACTGGGTGAACCCGAACAGGTCATCTACCTCCCTTTGGTTCAGTTTTCCGTGAAATGGGAGGCTTTAACCAGATTGACATTCACTATGCTGAAACCAAAGAAAACTTTGGAGTCTTTTTTCCCCAGCTTGTAATCGTGGATAACCACTGAGTCAGTGAGCTCTGGGCCCCTCCCGCCCTGACAACACAGGGGTTCATGAAAGGGCTGTGCTCCTCCTTCACTGTGGGCTCCTTCAAACCTGCCGCCCTGCTTGCAGGCCTGTCTGGCTCCTCCCTGCTCATCACAAGGTCTGAGAACAATCTGCTCAGATTTCCCCAGGCAGCTGCGATTGGGGCCCACGAAGACACATCCTTCCCGCCACAGTCAAACGGGAGTAATAGACAGCAGCAATCGCACGCCTCAGGCGATGCCAGTGAAACAGCTGTTCGATGCTCAGCACAGGTTCTCAGCCCCTTACACCTGATCATTCATTTAATCCTCGCCAGATCCCTCTGAGGTGGGTGTTAGCACTGCCCTCTCTCTAAATGATTAAGGGGGAGCTGGGAAGAATTTCTCTATAAAAGGACACGGAAGCAGCAAACTGCCTGGAATAAGCTGCCTTGAATTTGCCTTGAAAGAGCATTTGCCAGTTGAGTGCTCTGATTTTACTTAGTGTGTTTAAGATCGATAAACGTGGATTATTTGGGAAAAACAATAATCCAGACCATGCAATATTTGTTTGTTTGTTTTTATTTGCTTGTTTTTTAGACAAATTGTTTGTTTGTTTTTGAGATGGAGTTTCACTCCATTGTCCAGGCTGGAGTACAGTGGCACAATCTCAGCTCACTGCAACCTGCCTCCTGGGTCCAAGCAATTCTGCCTCAGCCTCCTGAGTAGCTGGGACTACAGGCTCCCGTCACCACACCTGGCTAATATTTGTATTTTTACAAGAGATGAGGTTTCCCCTCGTTGGTCAGGCTGGATTCAAACTCCTGACTTCAGGTGATTCACCCACCTTGGCCTTCAAAGTGCTGGGACTACAGGCGTGAGCCACTGCGCCCGGCCAATATTGTTGTTTTGAGGCCTTCAGGAGTGCTGATAGAGATGGGGAGTCTACAGTCCCTTCCAAAGTCCATAAGGGATGGGAGTTGGGGAGGGAGACCAATGAGTCCCTGAGGCCTGGGAATGGTGTTGAAATCAAAGGGAGGAGACCCTCTGTTTTGGAGGATCATAAGGAAGGCCAAGAAATTGTAAGGACACCTTTTTCATGAAGTTATTTCTCAGCATCTCAGTCTACCCCTTTGGCTGCTTCCCTCACACAGGGCTGTTAAACTCACCCCGACTGGGGACGGTTCCTCCAGGAAGCCTGTGCCTGCCTCCCACCCCTCCACAAGAAGAAGGGGGCTGGCAGGAGTGTCACTTTTTACTGCAGGAGGAAGGCCACTCACTACAGGAGCTCTCCTGGAGCCACCTTCCTCTGGTTGTATAAACGGGGCAAGGGTTAGGAGTCTCCCTGGGCTTATGTGACCTCTAGACAAACCATTCTTCCCCTGCTTACACACCCAGGATGCCATAGAGCAAATAACAAAAGGACGGAATCAATCTAATGAGCTCAAAGGGACAGTTTTGAAAGCACAGAGCTGTATACAGATGAGGCTGCTAAACAGAAAATCTTTGAATCCACCTATGACTTGGAATCCCTCCCTACCACCTGCCCACCTGCTTGGTTTCCAGCCAAACCAATACACATCTTACATGTATCAATTGATGTCTCATGTCTCCCTAAAAGATATAAAACCAAACTGTAGCCTGACCACCTTGGGCTCATGTTCTCAGGATCTACTGGGGCTGTGTCACAGGCCATGTTCACTCATATTTGGCTTAGAATAAATCTCTTCAAATATTTTATTTTGACTCTTTTTGTCAACACCTTCCCTTGTTTCCAGATTAAAACCTGTGAAAACAAGAGCCAGCTCACGTGCTTCCAGTAAACAGCCGTACAGTCCTCAAGCCCCTGTCTGAAAGAAGGAGCTTCCTTCTGGGCAAGAGGAACTCAAGCAGGAAGGGATACAGAGCACCAGGGCTCTGGGCTCTCTCTCAGTGCAGCACCCAGTGGGGCCTGGCCAGGCAATGACAAGTGGCAGGCCCTGGGCAGCTTGTGTGGACACAGCCCTGGCCCGACCCTAAAAAGGCGCATGCTCCCTTCAGGGTTCTCTTGGGGAACCTGGACTCGGGACTTTAGCGATACAGTCACCATTACAAACAGGTGACCAGAGTCAGCTCTGAGCCTTGGACTGGGAGGGAACAGGAATGAAGAGAACGCTGGTGGGATGGGGACACCATCCAGGAAGGCTGCCCCAGGGAGGAAGTGCCAAAGAAAATTGGCAAGGTGAACAGGGACCTGGGTCCACTCATTCATTTATTCATTCTTTCTTTTTTTTTTTTTTTGAGACGGAATTTCGCTCCTGTTACCCAGGCTGGAGTGCAATGGCGCGATCTTGGCTCTCCGCAACCTCTGCCACCTGGGTTCAGGCAATTCTCTTGCCTCAGCCTCCCGAGTAGCTGGGACTACAGGCACCCGCCACCACACCCAGCTAATTTTTTGTCTTTTTAGTAGAGACGGGGTTTCACCATGTTGACCAGGATGGTCTCAATCTGTTGACCTCGTGATCCACCCGCCTCAGCCTCCCAAAGTGCTGGGATTACAGGCGTGAGCCACTGCGCCCGGCCTTATTCATTCTTTCTTTAACCAACATTTGTAGAACCTATTAAACTCCAAGCACTGCTGAGGTACTGAGGACAGATGTGAACAAAATACAGTTCCTCCCTTGGAGGAACTTACAACCCAGAGGAGAAGACAGACACATCTATAAACAATTACAGCACTTAAGAAAGGGCTGCATCCAAATATGTACCAGTCCATGTGTGAGCAGACAGGAGGTATGCGCATGCTGACCTGGTCACGAGCAAGGGGTAAAAGGTGGGGGCTTCCATGCAGACAACAGGGAAGACTCACCAGGCAGAGGGACACAGGGAGAGAGAGAGAGAAATGCCACAAGGACCAGCTCATTGTCTTGCCTGGCTGAGGACGTAGGTGCCCTGGGGGAGACGAAGGTAAGGAGACAGGAGGGCTGTGAATGCGCAGCCGCATAGGCCTGGGGGCTCCTGCAGGATGCTGGCAGGAGAGGATGTGAGGACGCTGACCAGAGGAAGGAGGGACAGGATGGGCTGGCAGGGGAGGGGAACACACGGTGCTGTGCCAGGTGGCTGGTGAGGGCGGGAGAGGCCCAGCAGGGGAGGGGAACACACGGTGCTGAGCCAGGTGGCTGGTGAGGGCGGGAGAGGCCCAGCAGGGGAGGGGAACACACGGTGCTGAGCCAGGTGGCTGGTGAGGGCAGTCTCGGAGGGAGCAGGGCCTCCTTCAGTGCTTGAAATGAGGCCAGGTGCTGATGATGTTGTACAAAGCCTGCCCAGGGGACAGGATGTTGACCACGTCACTGTGGCCCATGAGCAGGTAGTTGGGAGTCAGGTACCCCTCGACCACAGCACACTGGATCAGGTCCTGGGCCGCCTCCAGCGCTGCAGCATTTGGAGGCTTTTCTGCAAAACATATTTTCCCCATCAGTTGTTAGGGTCTCAAAGTTTCTTGATCAGGGAAGGGACAAGCACCTAGATTCCAATTTCCCTCTTCCCCCACCCTGCCCCATTCCACCATCACTATAGCCAACACTTTCTCGTAAATTGTGGTAACCAGACACAAACAGAAAACAAAATCATGGCTTTCTCTGACGCCTCCGTGCCAAAGTTTCTTCCAGAAAGTTTAAAAAGTGCTCTGGAGGAGAACTGCAGCACAGCACAATTCTGAGCAGGTACAAAGCAGATCCAGCACCACCGGGCCGCCCGCTGGTTTCCCAGAGGCAGTGGTGCTCCCCAAATTGTTGCCATGGCTACCAAGAGATGGCCACATTTGCCAACTGAACGATAAAAGCACTGAAGTTTGCGAAAGACTTTTCCCCCCCACTCCATGTTTGCCTTGGATATAAAGTGAGATGGAGCTGGGCATGGGCATGGGTGGATTCAGGGGTAAATGCTCTGTTGAAAGGGTGTCCTGGTGACATCCTCTAATGAGAGTCCATTTTAAAGCTAAAATGTCCCACTCACACTGCCAGACACCACAGGGCTGCCTTTCCCCCCATGCTTCCCAGACATGCTGCATGGTCCCTCCGCCCACAGCACCCCTCTAACCCCATGCTCACCCCTTACCTACAAAGTAGCCAATGAAGGCAATTCCTAGGGCAATATCGTTGAATCCATAAGTGTGGGAGCCTTGGATGTGCCATCCAACCCCTTCATACACACCGCCATCCTGGCCCACCAGGAAGCTTGGATCGGGAAAAGAAAATGAGGAAAGTCACTCTGGGAAGCAGAATTTAAATACTTCACTCCTTCAACCATTCGTTCCTTCTTTCACCCATTTATCCAATATTGGTGGACGTCTCTTATGTGTCAATGTGGATAAGGAAAAAACGAAAAGCGCCACAGTCCACTTCAACCTGGCCTTAGTTCCCACCACGCCACTGAATCTGACCCCTCTAAGGTGAGCAGTGGCTCCTGGCACGAAGTACAATGGACACTTACTTTACTTCTGGACTTCATGGACCCTGTTGACCACTCTCTTAAAGCGTTCCCTTCCCGGGGCTTCCACAAGCACACCCCTCCCGGGTCTCCTCCCCCTGCTGCTCCCTCAGGCCCCTCTGCCACCCGCCTTCCCTTCCTCAAACGTGGAGTTCCTCTGCGCTCTGGTCTAGGTCCTTTTCTCTCTCAGTGTATTCACCCTGGACAATCATTCCCACAGATTCAAGTACTACTTTAAAAACATGTCCAGGCAAACCCACCTTCTTCTAAAATTTCTCCAGCTAGAAAATCGGGCAACGCCCTGAATGCCTTCCGCCCTTCTCTGAGCCCAGCTGGTCACTAGTCACAGCTTGTCAATTGTATCTCCTACACAGCTTCTAATTCCTTCACTTCTCTCTAGACCGACGGCTCCAAGTCACCGGGTCACTGCAATAACTTCTTGCCAGAGTTTTGCCTTCTTCCAGTCCATTCTTAAAGTAGCCCCCAGAGTGATTTTTCTAAGATACAAATCCTACCATAGGGCATGACCTCCTAAATAGTCTGCAGCTGCCTTTCAAATAGAGTCAGTCTCTCTGAGCCCACTATGAAACCTTCGGCAATGTGGCCCCCACGGGCCCTCCCACCCGTACTGCTCACCATTCCTCTCTTTCAAATCTATTTGTAGTGCTCTGTCTGTACCCTGGGCACTGGCGAATGCCGTTCCTACTCACCCAGACACTTTTCCTCCTTCTTTGCCTGAATAACCTCCACTCCCCTCCTTCTCCATGTCCCAATGACGATGCTCCTCCCTCTAGAAGCCCTTCTCAGACCCCAATCACCCTGGCAAAGTTTTGATTAGAGGCTCGTCCTATACATTATTCTGTTCTGCATCCATCACAGTGCTCAACACTTTGAATTGCAGTTACTCGTCATCCTTTCCTCTCTCATATCTATCATTGAAAGTTGTCAGAATCAAAATGGAGTCACTTGTGTCCAACTCTAACAAAAATAAATAAAGCTGGGAGGTTGAGAAGGGAGGACCCTCATGCACACAAGCCTACAATAAGAACTAGCACAGAGACTCTCTGAAGGACTCTCAGGCACTCATCCCTGTAACAAGAACTTTTGCCAAAAGCTTTCGAAACTGCAGCTTGTTACTAGTCACAAGGACATCTGGCCAATGGGGAACACTTGCCCGACACGCTGTCTCCACGAATGAAGTGGTGTCACTTCCTGCCTCCTGTGATAAACACCGACATTCGCCAGTGTTCCTTTATTTCAAAACAAATTATACTTTTCCCTTTGCCTTTAAAAGCTTCCCCCAGCCTCAACCTCTTTGGATATGCCTGTGGTTCCCATAGCGTGCATATCCCAGATTTGCTAATTTCCTGCACACTCCCAAATAAACTAATCATCTTTGTTTTCTTGCTTTTGTTTTTGTTTTTTCAGACAGGGTCTCACTCTGCTGCTCAGGCTGAAGGGCAGTGTCATACCATGGTTCACTGCAGCTTCAAACTACTAGGCTCAAGAGATCCTCCCACTTCAGCCTTCCAAGTAGCTGGGAATGACTCCAGATGCATGTCACCAAACCCAGCTAATTATTCTGTTTTTCTATACAGACAGGGTCTCCCTATGTTTCCCAGGCTGGTCTCAAACTCCTGACCTGAAGCAATCCGTCAGCCTCAGCCTCCTAATGTGCTAGGATTATAGACATGAGCTACCGTGCCTGGCCAAAATCATTATCTTTGGAGAATCTCTCTGTTTGTTGTTAGATTGACATATCTTGTCTAGCACCAGGCACATAGTAGCTATCCAATAACTATCAATTAAAAAGCTAGAAAATAATGTGTGAGTGGGTGCTTTGTCCTGATTACAGTCCACGTCAGAGTTACAGATGACATGTCATGAGACTAGAGCAGGAGAAGGATATCGCAATAGGTTTTGAAAAGTCAAGGAACAGGGATCACATCTCTAAAGACTGAATGAAAGAGGAAAACAAACGTTCCCTCAACTTCTAGAACTTTCCATGTGGAATTTCCAGATTTATAGTCCATTTCCTGTTACCTGTGCTAAATAACCATAGCACATCTATGGAAAATCCTGAAAAGTGAAGCAAGAGCTCCCCCCTGTTTGCAAAGGCTGCTTTTAAAACAGGACTTAAGGCTGGGCACAGAGGCTCATGCCTGTAATCCCATTACTTTGGGAGGCCGAGGCGGGCGGATCATGAGGTCAAAAGATCGAGACCATGGTGAAACCCCGTCTCTACTAAAAAATACAAAAATTAGCTGGGTGTGGTGGTGTGCACCTGTAGTCCCAGGTACCCGGGAGGCTGAGGCAGAAGAATTGCTTGAACCCGGGAGATGGAGGTTACAGTGAGCCTCTGCACTCTAGCCTGGCGCCTGGCAACAGAGCAAGACTCTGTCTCAAAAAAAAAAAAAAAACAGGAGTTAAAACGGAGAGAGACAGTAGGCCCAGAACAACACATTTGCAAAAGCACATTTACCTGAGACGTTGGAAGATATGTTGTGATTAAGTCACAGATGAATAATTGAAATATATTATACTCTAGCCCTAGATCCTTCCTATGAAAATTCCAAGACATCTTCCAAGTAGCTTTTCTACTCCATTAGTTTAATGTGTTTCTTTATTACAGACCTGGCATTAAAGGTACCAAAAAAGAATATTTTGATCTCATTCCCTATCTTCAAACAGATAAAGTATTTTCCCTATTGTAGAGAGGAGACAAAAGAGGCCCAGAGAGGTTAAAAGTTTCTACATCCATAGAATGTGGTAAGTAACACCAGAGGAATAGCAGGATTCTAACATCGGAGCGAGTGAGTTTGGAGCTGGGCAGACTGAGGTAGGGGTAAGCAAGGCCTTTGTCTCTGACAGGTTAGAAGGGATTGCATAAAAAAGGCACAACCCCAGTGTGTGATGCTCCCCTCCCTGTGTCCACGTGTTCTCATTGTTCAACAACCACCTATGAGTGAGAACATGCGGTGTTTGATTTTCTGTTCTTGTGTCAGCAGAACTAGGGGAGGGACAGTGCGGGGTGGGGGGTTGGGGAGGGATAACATGGGGAGAAATGCCAGATATAGGTGATGGAGAGGAAGGCAGCAAAGCACATTGCCATGTGTGTACCTATGTAACAATCTTGCATGTTCTTCACGTGTACCCCAAAACCTAAAACTCAATTAAAAAAAAATATATATATATATATATTTTTTTTTTTTGAGACTGAGTTTCACTCTTGTTACCCAGGCTGGAGTGCAATGGCGTGATCTCGGCTCACCGCAACCTCCGCCTCCTGGGTTCAGGCAATTCTCTTGCCTCAGCCTCCCAAGTAGCTGGGATTACAAGCACGTGCCACCATGCCCAGCTAATTTTTGTATCTTTAGTAGAGACGGGGTTTCACCATTTTGACCAGGATGGTCTCGATCTCTTGACCTCGTGATCCACCCGCCTCAGCCTCCCAAAGTGCTGGGATTACATATATATTTAAAAAAAAATTTTTTTTTTCAACAACAAAAAAAAAGGCACAACCCTTCGTGTCCTTTCCTGAGGGTGTCACAGTCTTGCTTTATCACTAGGCTTCTGGTGCCTTCTCTCCAGAATCTTCCCAACCACTGGTAGAGATATGCCCACGCGAGATAACTAACCATTAGCTATGCTCTGAATGATCCTCAGCATAGTCTTGCAAACATAAAATGTGTGGCCTTATGGAAAGCACCCAGCCCAAAGGAGGGGTTCTGGAAACATCGGTTCCCTCTCACAGCCCTCCTTCCTACAATCCTGAAGAAAAAGAGGGCTGTCTTTGAGTTGATCCCACTTACTGGTAGCCGATGTCACAAAAGTTCCGTGTGTCCATGTGAAAGGACTGTGTATTTCGGACGACAGTCTGGCAGTCTGTGGGTACAGTGCAGCTTGTGCCAGCGGTGTGGATGATGATAACGTATTTGGCCGGGAGGTTCATTTTAGGGCAGTGTGTCTCTCTGGCTTCCCAAGCAGATCGTTTGATGATGTTGGGACAAACTGTGGTTAGATGAAAAGCCAAGAAAATAGGAATTTGCTTTTGCTTCCCTGTGAGCAATCACTTAACTACAGGCTGGATTATTCCTCAGCTTCTCCCGGGCCTCCAGCACCCAGAGGCACATCCTAATGTAAGATTCATCATCTGTGGGATTCTGGGGAAGTCCAGATGGAGATTTTCTGGGTCAGATGGCTGCAACCAAGGGGCTGGGGCAAAAATCTACAGGCCTGATACCTATAGAAATCAGTGTACAAGCAGAAGGGGAAGGACTGTGGATTATATATATGCATGGTCATTGTCTTCGAAAGACCATGGATTGCAAACACATGTGCAGGTGTGTGTGCTTAGGTAACAGGGCCACCATGCAGAAGTCAGTGCACTCTCTGAACTGATCACATATATTTGTGGAAACAACTCGAAATCTAGAAAGAGCTGTACAAATATTAAGGAATTATCACTTTTGAAGATAGTGTCCAAAAGCAAGAAACATTTTATTTAGAGATTGGCAATATTAAAAACCTAATTTAAAAAATATCATCGATCCAAAGTAAAGGTCCACGGCAGCGAACGTGCTTATTAATTTGACTAGTTTTAGGATGCTGCTTATTTGCTTCAGAATAGTGCATCATTTTTCTTACTCAGCTTTTTCTTATATGCACTCTGATGCCAGCATCATCTGTGAATGCAAGTTCTTCTCTGAGCTGTGGCTGTGCTGGAGTTTGGCTGGTCTTTGTGTCTAGAAAGGTATATATGTTTACGTATGTTTTCATGTCCCCATACAATAAACACAAATATGTATACAAGTTCACCCCACTCCATTCCCATTCTATTTTTTTCCATAGGCTTTATGCCATCTAACATCATATGTATTTACTTGTTGTTTTGTTCATTTTTCTGTTTTTTCTCATTGAAGTGCAAGCTTCCTGAAGGTGAAGTTTCATCTGTTTTGTTCACAGCAGTATGCTCAGTACTTAGAATAGTGCCTGCCATGCAGCAAATATTTATTGATTGAGTGAAAATTCATGTACATATGTTTTTAGAAAAAGACCATGGCTATATCGTTCTGATGGCATGGAGCGGATGCCAGGAAGATACCCTCTCAGAATTTTCCAGCTCTCAAATTAGGTATGAGATGTTCTTGGTCCCAGAATCCCATGGAGTTTAACAGGGAAAAAAGCACTCCCAAACATGGCTGGGTGGCAACAAGGAGGGTGAGGTGGCATGGAGGGTCTTACCTTTCCTGGGCATCACTGGTTGTTGAGGGTCCAGGCAGATCTCTTCTTTCAGAAGAAGTGGCTGAATATACATGGGTGACAGGTGACCCTTCTGGATGGCATAGGAGACCAGACCCTCTGCAGCTGAGAAGGCAGCAGGGCTGGGACTGCTGCCTTAAGGAGGAGCACAGAACTGTCAGTAAGAAACTCCACCTGGACTAGACAGCTGAAGGGAGGATGATATGACCACTTGAGCCTGAATAACTGGATTGAAAGAGAGGAAACTGGCCCAGTTGCCAGAACAGAGGGCCTAAGAGGCAAGAAATTACCTAGATCTCTCGGCAGCCAAAGTTGACAACTTCTTCCAAGAACCAAACTAAGACTTTATCCACTCCATCTCTAGGCAAAAGAGCTGGAAGGCAGTGAAAAATACATGCAGAGGAAGGCCCACCTGACTGAGTTAGGTATGCACTAGCACAGGAGAAAAGGCAAACAGGATTTACTCACATCTCCCTTGCTCAGGTATGCAGTAGACTCTGTATATCTGTTAACTCGTAATTCTCACAGAAAACCTCTGAGAGCAACACTGTTACCCAGCCCCAGCTGTCAAATGAGGATGCTGGCAGGTGCTGGTTCCATATGTATTATCTCTCAACTCCATCCCTGTTCTGTGCTTTCCTCTGCTTTTCTAGGGGCTAGAAGCCTGCAAGTTGTAGCTCCAGATTTCCTTGCCTGCTGCCTTCTGGTCCGTTTCTGCCAATGGAAGAAACTGGAAGAAGAGATGAGCCAGGCTTCTCTGCCTCTGGCAGTCACAGCATCTGTGTCAGACAACCTCAGACTTTAGAAGTGATGGCAATAACTGTGAGCTCAAGCAATGTCCGTGCTGGTGTCAGCAGTATCACAGGAGTACAGACCCGTAAAGAGGAAGAGGACAGAGAGTATGCATGTCACAGAATCCAAAGCAGAAAAGAACTTCCAGAGAAGGGCGATCGTCAGAGAAGATAAGTATGAACGTAGGGTGAAGAGACGAGTGTGGAGCCAAGGGAGTGGAGGGGGAGAGCGTACGCAACTCTCCAGCACGGGGTCCACGGGGAGTGGCCCTTACCTCTCTTACTGCCAAAGAAGGCAATGCCCAGGGAGACGTTGTTGTAGCCCTGGGTGTGCACGCCTTGGGTGCTCCAGCCAACACCTTCGTACACCCTGCCGTCGTCCCCAACCAGGAAGCTGCCGAGAGGGAAATAAGGGGTTTACTGGCAAATGCCCACCAATGAAAACCTCTCACTGACCCTCAAAAGGGAAAGGGGTTCTGGAGGCTCATAAATAAGTACTATGTTCCAACAACATAACAATGAGAGGCCAGAATAAGCAGTTTTAAACCTCCAAGAGACATGGGAATATGTTTTAATTTTTGTTGTGACTTAGCTTATGTATGTTTTCCAGAATGTCATTTTAAAAATACTCACTTGGTTCAAAGTGGAATTTGAACGTGTGGCACTCAAGGACCTGAAAACATTAGTCCAACAGTTTTCAAGAGCTCAAGAATGAATATATCGTGCTTTTAAATGAGAGGACCAAGCACTTGACTATTCTCTAAAACAGTTAGGCAGATTCAATAGTTTCTTTTATATTGATGCTTTTCTTCAGTTTCTTTTTAGGAATTTTCTTAAGCTCTTCTTTACCATAGAAATTTGTTTAGAATGTTCCTTTTTCAGAGAGGGGAACAGCACACACAGAGGCCTGCTGGTGGGCGGGGGGGCTAGGGAAGGGATAGCAGGGGGTGGGGGGATTGGGGAGGGATAGCATTAGGAGAAATACCTAATGTAGATGGCGGGGTGATGGATGCAGCAAACCACCATGGCACCTGCGTACCTATTAACAACCCTGCACGTTCTGTACATGTACCCCAGAACTCAAAGAATAAAAAATAAAATTTTAAAAAAGCTTTAAAAAGCACATTCAGAAGAACAAAAAGAATGTTTCTTTTTAACATTCGTTTTTAAAATCAAATATATATTGTTTATTCTACTTCTTTTATTCCCGCCCTTTTATAATTTCTCTCCTCCACTTTCCAATCTGTCTTCGGAATTCATGTTTTCACAACTTTGCCACATCCAGCTTTTAATAGACCATGAGTTTCCACAGGAAACTGAACACAGAGAGAAGACCTCCCTGAGGTCAAGGGAAGACCTACACCGACGTCGGCCTGAGGAGTGGGTGGGGAGCCCCGGCGTGTTCACCCCTTCCCTGGTTTTGCTGCCGGTTCTTTCACAGGTGCCTCGCTCACTCCAGCAGCAGCCTGTGGATCGTCCACTGTGAACAGTCCCTTACAGCTACTGCCAGCTGCATTGCAAAGACTGAAGATTGTCAAGAGCGTCTCAGTGCAGAAACCTGACTTAGAGACGCAATGGCTGAAATCACTTAGGAATACAGTGACCAATCCAGGCAACACGGCAGTGACCACAGCAGGATGGTGGAGGAGCTGGTGGCAGGGGCGGCAGGTGAGTCGTGGTTGACACAGCACGCACGGTGGGCAGACAGGGAAGACCCAGCCATCCCAGGGGTGCTGCGGGCCACAACCAGGGCCTGCAGCTGCTCTTATTTGTGTTTAAAAATAAATAAATAAGAAGACATAGGTTTTCCTTTCCAAAATGGATAATTCAGAAATCATTTATGTTTGCCTTTAGAGTTTTGTCGAGGATAGCCCCATTCCCACTCTCTCTTTCCCTCTCCTTCTACATCTGTCTCCTCATTCTTGAGGCCAAGGGGGAAAATGTTCTGGGCCTCCACGGTGATCCCCAGGGCAGATACTCAATGCACAGTGCACAGCTGCTTCATGCTCTCCCTTGTTTTCGCACAGGGCTCTGCTCCCCACCATTCCCAACGCCCACCCTCCCACCCTGGGGTCCCTGGCCTCGCTGTCAGAGTGGCCCTTCAGGGAAATGAGTGGGACACTGCTTCCCAGGTATGAGTCCCTGTGAGGTGGGAGGAGCACAGGCTGCAAGTGGCAGGCACCCTGACACAGCTCTGGGTACACGCTTCCTCGCTCTAGCTGAGTTAATTCCCCTGAACCGTGGCTTTCGAACTTGTGAAATAAAGATGGGAATATTTCTCCAACCCCTTCCTCAGCGTAGCTGGGAGGCCAAATTGGGTGATGCTTGTGAAGACCTCTGTAAACTGTCAGTCTCCGTGAGTTCCAAGAGCTCAGTTGGAACTGCAGTTACCACATAACCTTCCTCGCTTTTTCACAGGAGCTCCAGAATCAAAAGCCACTTAAATAAGTGGCTTAGAGTCATCCCTCTTACAATCCCTGGAGGACTCGGATTTTATTTCATTTCCTTTTGACCATTTTTATTCATTAGACAAACAATGTAAATGAAGCCCAGAATATAAAGACACACAGAGAAGGGGAAGTGGAAGCACCCTGAGAGGGGTGACGTTGGATGCAGGCCTCGGGGACTTGGCCAGCCTCTTACTTGTATGCCACGTCGCACCAGCCTGTGGTGTAGACAGAATGGGACTGCAGCCCCCGCAGCATCTGGCTGCAAACCGTCTGCTCCTGGCACTCCATCCCGGGGAGCTGCTCCGTGATGACATAAGCCACAGGCAGGGTCAGCCGGGCACTGCAGCCAAGCGGTCTTGCCCCCCATTCCTTGCGGGGGATAATGGTGGGAGTATCTGTAGGGAAGACCACAGGATGGCACACAGCAGGCCCTGCCCATCTTCCCCCAACAGGCCGTCCATGTGCCCTGACCTCTCACGCTCAGACCCTCCCAGCCCCATGGGTGGGAGACGCCCTGGGGGAGCCCTTTACCCCCACAACCCCCTCCTCCTCTCCACTGTAGCTGAACCACTGCCCAGACACACGCTGCACTCAGCCTGGGAAGTCGTGCCACCTCGTTCCCGGACAATCTCTCCTTGTCTTTCCCCGAAGGGCAAATCCCATCCCCTACTGCCCCCTGGCCTACTTCATACTTTCCTCCTTCAGAAAGCACCCCAGCTGACCCCACCGCCCACCCTGGGGCTCTGAGCTGGAAGCCTGAGGATGCGTTTTCCTCACTGCCATTTGCCCCGATCTCAACTGTGTCTCTTGTGTTGCCCTCCCCTAAGAAGCATGACTCTCTGAAGGAAGTTCTGTCAGTCTCCTCAACAAGGGGCTCCAGAGCCCACAGGAGGCTCCATGAACACAAGGTCTGCGCCTCTCTCTTCCAGGCAAAAACTGCCTAGTGGAGGGCTGTGAGATCCCACCTGCGGCTGCAGGCTGCCTGAAGGCTCCCTTTCTCCATCCACACTGTGAGAGCCCCAGGAGTGTTCTGAGGGACAGTGGAGACATTGTCATGCTGGAGCTGGGGGGTGGAGAACATTTCTTTTCTCTTTGGGTTTTTTCTCCTTCTTTTTCTCCTCTCTCTGTGTCTTTTTTTGAGACAGAGTTTCACTCTATTGCCCAGGCTGGAGTGCAGTGGCACCATCTCAGCTCACTGCAGCCTCTGCCTCTCAGTTCAAGCAATTCTCCTGCTTTAGCCTCGCGAGTAGCTGGGACTACAGGCACGTGCCATCACACCTGGCTAATTTTTTGTATTTTTAGTAGAGATAGGGTTTCACCGTGTTAGCCGGGATGGTCTTGATCTCCTGACCTCATGATCCACCCACCTCAGCCTCCCAAAGTGCTGGGATTACAGGTGTGAGCCATTGCATCTAGCCTCCTTCTTTCTTTCTTCATCTGGGTTTCTCTTATTTTTCTCTCGTTAGGCCCAGGACCCCCCCTTTGCCTAGGACTCAGGACGATCCATGGGAGTGGTTGGAGAGAGACCTCTTGAGATTCCTCCCCACCCCATTCACTCTCAGCCCAGACATCATCAAGTCCTGAGAAACATTTCTGACCACTTAAGAAACCCCAGTCAATTTCCAAACCGCCTCACCCTTGCGACTGTTGTGAATGAGCTGTGAGATGCTGACAAACAGGTTCATAAACCCCTGCGATAAGCCTCTGGCTTCGGTCTCATTCCAGGAGAACTGTGGAAAATCCCCTGCAAGAGAGCGTTGGGGCTGGTCCTCAGAGTGCACGTGGCCAGCGTGCACAGAGGCTGGGCCAGACATCCCACTCCACAGTGCACAGCCTCTCAGCCTCCCCAGGTCACCTAATGTCCTCTCGGAAGCACACAGAGGAGAACCACAGACGTCTCTGGCCTTAGCCTGCCTCTGCCTCCCATATCCCCCCAGAGAGGCTTTCGTCTTCCCACCTCCCCCAGCCTCTCCATTCCGGGAGCACTGCAGTCTCACCCGCTGTCTTATCTGGGCTATGCCACCTTTCCCGGTTCACCTGCAGACTTACTCATCAATCCATGGGTACCCAGCAGGGTGTCACATACCAAGACAGTAGTAACATGTTGAGCTAACACACACGTCTTAAGCACCTATTGGTGCCAGACAAAGTTCTTGGAACAGAAATATATAGATCTTTTCCACTGCCTTCCAAAACTAGACGTTTTAGAGATGCTTTATTGTGGATTAGACACCGCCAGCCCGTCCTTATCCCTGCTACTCCTATTCAGTACCAGGAGTCCTGGGAGCAGTCGCCAGTGGCAGCAGTGACATTGTCACCAGCCCCACCTCCCACAGGCCAGCCCTGTGGTTACAAAGCACATCCACGGACGCTCTCGGAATTGTGGCTTGAAACAACTTCATGAGTTAAGCAAAGCTCTCAATACCGAAGGGAAACCAAGTCTCAGGGAAGTTAAGTTACTTGTCTAATATAACAGAGGTTTCACTTTGGGAGGCCGAGGCAGGTGGATCACGAGGTCAAGAGATCGAGACCATCCTGGTCAACATGGTGAAACCCCGTCTCTACTAAAAATATAAAAACAAAATTAGCTGGGCATGGTGGCGCGTGCCTGTAGTCCCAGCTACTCGGGAGGCTGAGGCAGGAGAATTGCCCGAACCCAGGAGGCGGAGGTTGCGGTGAGCCGAGATCGCGCCATTGCACTCCAGCCTGGGTAACAAGAGCGAAACTCCGTCTCAAAAAAAAAAAAGAAAGAAAGAAACAGAGGTTTAAGCGTAGATTTAGATTTCACTCGGAATCTCTGACTGCGAAGCCCTTGTTCATAACAACTGCACCCTGCAGCCTCCCCAAAGTTGTCAGATGAACTTGGGTTAATCACTGCCACAATGTGACCACTTTCTCTTCCTACAAGACAAAGCCACCGAGGTTCTCCACCGTGGTTCTGGGATTCTGTTCTTCTGTAAAATCAAGAGCAAATACATGACCAGGACACCAAGGCCAAGGTGTGCTGGATAGACTGCTGCAGACGGGAGCCCACCTCAGCAGGGAGAGGGCCTGAGCTGGGTGGTGAAGGGGACACAAAGGACTGGGGAAGGGGAGGGAGGAGACTGGAGAGGACACTTTGCAAAGGAAACCCACAGAACTGTCAGAGTAAAAGAGCGGCCTTCCCCATCAGGGCCTCCGCTTCTCCATTCATACAATGAAGGACTGAACTGTGTATTCCCTGGCCTATGAGTTTCTCCAACACTAACTCCAGGTAATCCCATTGAATTTGCTGTCAGAGTAGCAGAGGACAGAGAGAAAGCTAAATTACATTATTCCTTCAGAACAGGGTCTGTGTATGTCAGACAAACTGAAAAACAGATCATACTTAAGAATCGCCAAGCCCACTTTCATTTTAATTCAACAGCATTTGTTTATTTATTTTTTTGAGATGGAGTTTCGCTCTTGTTACCCAGGCTGGAGTGCACTGGCGCGATCTTGGCTCACTGCAATCTCTGCCTCCTAGGTTCAGGCAATTCTCCTGCCTCAGCCTCCTGAGTAGCTGGGATTACAGGCACGCGCCACCATGCCCAGCTAATTTTTTTTTTAATATTTTTAGTAAAGACGGGGTTTCACCATGTTGACCAGGATGGTCTCGATCTCTTGACCTTGTGATCCACCCGCCTCAGCCTCCCAAAGTGCTGGGATTACAGGCGTGAGCCACTGCGCCCGGCCCAACAGCATTTGTTTATTGAACATTTCTGTGGGTCTACTCTTATGTATAAAACGATAAGAAATCTTCTTAATCTGGAGAAAGGGCATTGCTACTCTTTGGGAATTTGCTTTAATTTACAAGTATAGACCCAAGTGCTGGGTTTCACTGTGATTGGTAAAATAACAATGGTGATAATAATTAAATCATAGCGAAAACCCACCCAGCACTTACTACTTGAGCATTGTGCCAAATGGCACACACTTGCGATCTAATTTAATCCTCAGAAACAATCCTAAGAAATGAGCAATTATCCTTTTATCATGGGAGCAATTAAGATTCAAAGAAATTGAATGACTTGTTGACCACCGTAACAAAGGGCAGGCAAGGATTCGAATGATCTGTCAGCTCTAGAACGGGGCTCCAAATTGCAAAGCTATCCTGCCCGCTAGCAAAGGGAAAGCACTTGGATCGGTTTCTGTTATTAAACTTGAGAACGGGTCTTCTCTTGCTCATCAGAAGCACTTCTGATACAATGAAAGAAAACTTACCCCGGGCCTGGAGACCCAGAATGGAGAAGGCAGGGAGCCACAGCAGCATCCCCACGTGGTCCCAGGACTGTGACCGCAAGAGTATGGACGGTGGCCCTGGAAGAGACTCTGACAGTTAACACAGCCGTGCTAACTCTGCAAGCGGAGCACCCGTCTATTATGTGGCACCACTGTCTGCCTCCTCTGCCATCCTGTGGCTTCCTGAGGGTCAGCACCTGGCTAGCTCCTGGTCCCTCATAGAAGCCCAGTGCCTGATCTTAGGCCTTTGGGGATAGAAAATAACAATTTCTAAAATCCTCGAGGTTGCTGTTATGAAAAAAAACCCTGTGTATGTATTTTCACATCTAGTGGTCCAATTTCATATTTATTTCTTACAAAAGTCCTGTATGATAAGTATTCTTAACCCCATTTTTATAGATAAAAACACTGAGGCTCAGATGGAGTGAACTACAAACAGAAGCAGGGGTGGCTTCACCCCCTGCACCATTTGAGAGTCCCAGGTATGTAAAGTCATTCAATGCAGTCCTCTACTCTATTCAATCCTAAGTCCATCCACCAGCAAAGACTCCTGATGGATGCTCAACTAACCTCTTCTTGAGTGAGAATCATAATAACAACAGCTGCCACTTACTGACTGCATTCTGTGTTCCAAGGTATTTGCTGAGGACTCCACAGATATTCACTAGTCTCATAATGCCCAATGAGACCCACGCTTATCATCAGAACACTGGGCCTCAGAGAGTTTGAGTCACTTTTCCTAAGTTTCCCAGTCAGAACCAGATTCATACCCAGGTCTGTCTGACTCCAGAGCCTCTGCCTGAAACTTCACAACCTGCTTGAGTTACTGATGATGAATATTGAACTGTAGATTCACTATCATCTTTTCCATCTCCAGGAATCTTTCCTGCTCTTCCAGGCAGAAGTGAATTGCTTACTCATGCTCAGTCAGACCAAAACTTCAACTCTATGAGCTACCAACCAAAACATCAACTTCCCCTCCCCACCCAGTTTTCCTAGTGAGAAACTATAGAGTTTGAAACCGAATGGGATAGATCATTCCTCTCCAGGGTTTTTAAACTGCAATCAGGAGTCCCCAGATGGAAAATTTTTTAAACCACATCTTAAGAGTAGAACCTGTAGAAGCTTCCTGGGTCAAGACAAGCAACCACCTAGCAGATAACACCCGTAAGTCCATTGATTCAGGAAAACTGCAGTAAAGACAAAATGAGCCCATTAGAAATGAGGCCAGCACCTAATAAATATGAGGGAAAATGTTCAGCCTCCCTCGTTAGTTAAATGAGAGGTGAGGATTCACTTTCCCATGACTGAAGCCCTGTTAGGACCTGGCCTCCCGCAAAGCTACTGGAAGCCACTATCAATTCTGGTTTGAACCCTGGTCAGTTAATCATGGTGCTTCCACTACCATGAAACATCAGTGTGGCAATTCCTGCCCCAAGCTTGTAGTATCATACATCCACAATATGAAGGCTTGAGCCCAGTCCCTGACCTTGCCAGAGACAGGACTGACAGTGTCTCCCATCTGCACCATGAATAGCAAACACTAAACTGGCAGGATAAGCTGGAGCCAAAGTTTTACCACCTTGGTTCACATTGCTGTGCATCCTGTATACTTAAAGAAATATTAGAGCAGGAGACAAGTGAGATGTAGCAGATAAGAAGTCAGGACTCTACAGAAAGGGAAGAAATTAGGTAGAGGTAACCCCAGAACCCACAGCCTTTTCAAGAAACATCTAGGAGGCGTGAAGCCAAACTCACTTAGAAGAATTTAGAATAAAGAAAGTTTTCTTATTTGGAAAATGGGTTCCTAAAGGGAGAGACCAGGGGAACTTTCCCTGCCATGTACACATTTCAACTTCACAGACTTCAGTCCTGTTGCTGGAAGAGGGCTTCTGAAGAAACACACTTACACTCAAACTCACAGATACGGTGGGTCCTGTGCTGTCCCAGCCCAGCAGGTCAGGGTGCAGTCGGCTCACCCCTGATTGGCCAGCAGCTCCTTCCCTTCCAGACTTGACCTCCAGGCCCTGCCCTTCTTCTCCAGCTGGTGCCTCCTCCGGCCTTCACTCTCCCTGGCCCTAAGGGCAGTCCCTCCCTGGGAATGGAACACTTGGACTCTGGCTTCTCAGAGAGAAGAGGAGAACCCAGGATCCCTAACAAAAAACTGAAGAGAAGAGGAAGGCAGAGGGCTGAGGCTCCAAGCCAGCTCCGTGTACAGCACCTGGAGAAACTAAAGTGGGAACACACTGAGAGCACCTGGGGACCCGCCCCGTGAATAAGCCCAGGCAGCTCCTCCCTGGGAAAGGGCAAGATTGCCCAACACTCCCTGAGTTCCTTCTTCATCCCCAGCCCTTATGCCTGGTAGACCTGGGGTGCTGGGGGTTCTGTCCCTGACATCTGGGAGCTTCCTTCCAATAAAGATCTATCTGCTCTACGTTACACTGGAGTCACCAGCCAGGGCAGAATGAAGGGACGGAAATTGAAAGTCACTTTCCCAGGAGGCAGCTGGCAATGTGTCATCACTGTAACTTATTCTGACCCTGTAGCTACCATGTCCATTTATTCACCACCCCACTTCAACTTCAGACTCTTCCCCTGAAACAAACCAAGTTTCTCCCCGCCTCACCCATTCCTGACAGTTGCCCTCAATCCTCAACTCTGATCTCCAAGAATCCCTGTCCCTTCTCTGAAGAGGTTGATGCATAAGACTTTTCAGTCAGGCTCTACCAGGGATACCAGAGCTGCTGCCCCTTGGAGGGGGAATGCTTAGGCCAGAGGTCCTGGAAAGCACCATGCACCCTTGAGAAGATACTTGTATATCCACTCTGTTCTATACACTGATCAGCCCAAAGCACACTTCAGGAACAAAAGCTTGGGAGACCTCTCCTAGATCCCACAGCCTCTGAGGGAGACATGCTGAGTGAGCTCCATTTCCCATAGGGTGGGGAATCTTAGGTGAGGGGCTCAGAGGTCTAGCAAGGGGACCGGAAATTACAGTTGGTAACAATGACAGACACCACCTTATGAGTCTGAAACTTTTATTTATGACTTTGGATGTTTTGCCATCGTGACTAAACTTAAAATGAAAATGGCTTGTAAGCTCATTATTAGAACAGCAAGTTAGGGAGAACTAAAGAGAATGTCTCACTCTGAAGACCAGACGTGGAAGAGAAGAAACTCAGATGTTAAAGGGGCAGTGGCAGCCCACAAAGAGAAAGGAAAATGGGTAGGACATGGCAGTCCCCAACTAGAGATCAGAGGACACCCAGGGATTAATTGGGAGAAAGTCTGAAGCAAGACCACTGTTATCCCATATGGTACTTTTACTAAAATTAGAGAAAGTATTCCTTCCACAGGTAAAAGTTATAGCTCATATGTTAACGCTAATGAAAACAATTAGAAATTAGAATAAACAGCTACTTTGTATAAGTTATGTAAATTGAATTATTAAACAAAATAGCCCTTAAAATTTTTAATCACAATAATTAGAAACTCAAAGTCACTCAGATCTAATATGTTATGTAGTTGCCTTACTTTCTTTTCTTTCCTTTTTCTTCTTTTTTAATTTATTTTTGTTGTTGTTGTTGTTGAGATAGGGTCTTGCTCTGTTACCAGACTGGACTGCAGTGTGCAATCTTGGCTCACTGAAGCCTCAACCTTCCAGGTGTGTGTGCTCCCACCTCAGCTTCCCAAATAGCTGAGATTACAGGTGTGCCACTGTATTTTTGTAGAGAAGGGATTTTGTCATGTTGCCCAAGCTGGTCTTGAACTCCTGACCTCAAGCAATCCACCTGGCTTGGCCTCCCAGAGTGCTGGGATTACAGGTATGAGCCACATGCTGGCCTAGTTGCCTTACTTCCTAAAGAGAAATGATCCTGCTTGAAAGAATAATCTGTCATGTTGTGAGAAGGCCTATGAAGCGGGCCCCAGAGTGGATCTGAGAGAGGCCTCTGGGAGCTAAGAGTGATTCCAGGACAGCATCCAACAAGGTTACAGGGGGCCTCAGTCACACAGCCGTAAAGAAATGAATGATGCCAACAAACTGAATGAGCTTGGGAGCAGATTTTTTCCCCAGTCAAGCCTCCAGATGAGAATGCAGCCCTACAGACCTTAACTTAGCCCTGTAAGGACTTTAGGCAGAGGATGCACATAAGTCATGTCCAGATTTCTGACCCATGGAAACTATATAATAATAAATGTTATTTTAAGCCACTAAGTGTGTAGCCATTTGTTATGCAGCAATAGAAAACAAATACAGTATCTAAGATAATCACATAGTCTCCTGGCCCTATAGGAGCATGTCAGCAGCTTAGAATGGAATCTTCAATGTATCTTCCCCATAACCATACAAAGATACAAGGAGAATTAATATCTTAAAATCCTACACCTTCAGCAAAATTAGAAGATTAAAACAATCCAGTTTTAGTTACAAAGGAAGAATGTGTCTGGGAGATCCATAGTCCCATAAGGTGGTTATAGTCAATACTAATATATTGTATACTTAAAAATTGCTGAGAGTAAATCTCAAATCTTCTCACCACAAAAAAAGTATGTATGATGATAGATAGATCAATTAGCTTCATTTAATCATTCACAATGTATACATGTTCCAAAACATCACGTAGTATGCTGTAAAGATATATAATTTAAGAAGACAAAAATGTCCACAGATTTCTAGGTATATGAAAGTAAGGGTGGCGTGGGGGACAGGAAATCAGGAAACTAATACTAGAAGCCCTAATAATGAATGGTGAGGTGGTGGAGTGGTCAGTGCTATGAGAAAAAGAGACCGTTACCAGCAGAACCTGGAATCAGCGGCAAATACTCATCACCAGAATGCGAGGGACCACCTAGCGGGGCACTGCTATGGACAGCTCTAAGAATGAAAAGGGTATTGCATCAGAACTGGTGGAGGTAGACAGAAATGACTGGGAGTGCAAGGAGAACAAAGATAGTATCACAATATAGCCAATGAACTACCCATTAAGTGCAACAGATGAGGAGCCCATGAGCTGAGAAACAGGAGAGGCTGCATTAATTATGTCCCACCTCCAAACACAATGCCACTGGATACTCCTGTAGAAACTGGACCAGAAGAATACAGCTCATTCCAATGTGAACAATAAAAAGGCAAAACTTCACATCCAAAAAAAGGTTCCATTTTAAAATATGACATAAAATTGTATTTTATTAACAAAAAAAAAAACCTCATTAAAAAAGATTACAATAGGCAGAGGGGAAAATATTTCAACATAATTTTCCTAATTGTCTAACGATAAAAGAATTCACAAAACAGAAGTAAAAGACCTCAAAGAAGAATTTAACTAGACAATAGGAGGATATGAAAGAGAAGTGACATAATGATCTCAGGAATTAAGACTAAAAGACAAGGAGTGCAAAGGGGAGCAGGTACCCCAGAAAGCACATGTCAGTGTCCTAGAGAAAAGAAATTTTAAAAGTCCATGGAAACTGAAATGAAGAAAAGACAAATAAAAAAGAATTAGAGAGTTCATACACAATATGATGTACTTATTCTCTCAGAACTGTACACTGAATAATAGTGAAGATGGTAAATTGTATGTGTATTTCACCACAATAAAAAAAATTGTGGGCCCGGGCGCAGTGGCTCACGCCTGTAATCCCAGCACTTTGGGAGGCCGAGGCGGGTGGACCACGAGGTCAAGAGATTGAGACCATCCTGGTCAACATGGTGAAACCCCGTCACTACTAAAAATACAAAAAATTAGCTGGTCATGGTGGTGTGTGCCTGTAATCCCAGCTACTCGGGAGGCTGAGGCAAGAGAATTGCCTGAACCCAGGAGGCGGAGGTTGCGGTGAGCCGAGATCACACCATTGCACTCCAGCCTGGGTAACAAGAGCGAAACTCCGTCTCAAAAAAAAAAAAATTGTGGAAAAAATAATTAAAGCAAAAATGACCAATGTGGAAGACAGGCAAAGGAGATCCAACATATATATAATTCACATACCAAAAGAAGAAAAAACAAATATAAAGGAGTAAATACTTCAAATAATAATTAAAGAAAAACATATTTTGAAATCAAAGATACGACTTTACATATCGAAGGGTCACACTTTTACCTGAGAGAATTACCTGCAATAGTAATCACTAAACCATATTATGGTACTTAAAATATGGTACTTAAACTTTTCAGTCAGTCAAGCGAAGAGACCAAGTCATTTATTTATAAGAGAAAAAATTAGATTGTCATCAGGCTTCGCAACAGCAACATTCACATGCAGATTACAGAGAAGAACCTACAACACACCCATCAAAGAAAAGATAGCATGAGCCAAGGATTTTATGTCCAGCCAATCTGTTATTTAAAGTATAAAGGCTACAGAAAATAAAACTTTTGAATATGTAGTAACTAGGTAAATATTGTTGCTTCATCGAGCCCTTCTATTAGTGACCCTTGGAATCTACGTGTTGGAAATGTAATTCCCAATGTGACAGTCCTGAAAGGTGGAGCCTAATGGGAGGTGTTTAGGTAATGAGGGTTCATGACTATCTGCCTCCCACTATGTGAGGATGTAGCAAAAAGGCCCTCACCGGTTGCTTGTGCCATAGTCTCAGACTGCCCAGCCTCCAGAACTGTGAGCCAATAAATTCCTGTTTATTATAAACTACCCAGTGTCACGTATACTGTTATATCAGCACAAAATGGACTAAGGCAAACTCTTTACTCAGTAATTTGCTAGAGAATAATCTTCATCCAGTCAACAGGTTATTGGAGAAATTTTGGCAAAAAAGAAAACTAAAAACTTGCAGTGAGCAGTGTCTATGTTTAACTGTAGAACTAGGGCTCAAACATGTCTGAAGGACACAAAACTAGATCCAACAAGCAAATGGGCATTTTTAAAAAATATTATTGAAACAACTAGACAGCCATAAGGAAAGACATAAAATTTTGGTCTATACCGTACATAACACCAAAATAAACTTTAGATGAATAAAAAAAACATACAAAAATTAAAATATTGAATTACTTGAGAAAATATGAATGAATTTTATTATAATGTGGGAGTGGTAGGCCTTTCTAAATATAATTCAGAAATCATAAAAGATGATAAATTTGCAGCTTAAAATAAAAAATTCTTGCATACTCCAAAACCTTAACTATATATCATAAGCAAAGGCAATAAACAGATAGCAAGCCTGGGAAAAATATTCGTGATTAGTCTCACAAAAGAGCTGTGTTCTGTAATGTAT